ATCTAAATAAAAGCGGGGGACACGGGAAAGCGGGGAAAACGGAAGCGGGGAAACGGAAGACGGGGAAACGGAAGACGGGAAACGGAAGGACGGGAAACGGGAAAGCGGGGAAACGGGAAAGCGGGGAAACGGGAAAGCTGGGAAACGGGAAACTGGGGAAACGGAAAAGCAGGGAAATGGGAAAGCCGGGGAACGGGAGAGCGGTAAAACGGGAAAGCGGGAAAGCTCGCGCGCCCAAAGCAAGCGCGCCCGGAGCCAGTGCACCCGGAGCCAGCGCAGTCGGAGCCAGCGCACTCGGCGTTAGCGCACTCGGAGCCAGCGCACTCGGAGCTAGCGCATGTGTAGTGAGTCTAGCGATACCGAGTCGCCGCGAAGCGGCGACCGGGAGCGCTAGTGATAAATATGAGTATTCCATGCAATGGAGGTGAGTTTTTCACTGGGTGGTGTCTAACGTCACATCCGTTCCCTTTTCCGTAACGGTGTTTAGGCAAGTGTCCTTAAAGACGTGGTTCACGTCAAAATGTATGCATTCAGGCGGCACGGCAGCCATTCTTCATCACTTAGGGAAAAATTTCTGGTCACAGGCGCTCGGCGGGCGGCGAACAAGGCAACACACGGCTGTAAAGTCTGTGTCCGTTTCAAGGCGAAAGCAGCGTCGCTCCCAGTGCCTCCCTTACCCAGCTTTCGGGTAGAGGAATGTCCCCCGTTCTCTGTGGTGGGCGTGGATCATGCAGGGCCGATATTCTACAAAGCGCATGACGGAAAGCGAATGAAATCGTATATATTGCATTTCGTATGCCCAATTACGCGCGCTCTCCGGTTGGAGCTAGTGGCTGATCTTACCACTTACGAATTTCTCCTTGCTCTACGCAGGTTCATTAGCAGAGCCCGGACCTTCATGCAAAATGCCTAAGATGCATAGAAACGCATGAATCGGCGTTTCTTACGTCTTACGTCTTACGTGAAGCTTTTAGGACAAGGAGTTCTGTCGACCGATGGACACGTCATCTTGCGAGAAGTGTGTGAGCGGGATGTTGCCGCCGAGCGGAAATCGCAAGTTTCGCAGCATCTCAATGGAGCGAAGCATAAGTCGCTATTGAACAAGAAGGAGCAGTCAAGTTCAACCAGTCTGATCCAGATCGGTTCTTTCCTAGAAGTTTCTGGAAAGAAGTCGCAGTTCAGGCTCGACCTCTGCGAAGCCTTCGTTTCCGCCGGTATCCCATTCTGGAAATTAGAGAATTCGAAACTGACAGATTCCCTCGGGAAATCTTGTTCCGAACAGATACCGTCGTCATTGACCCCCCGCAAAAAGTATCTTCAAAGCGTCTTCGAGCACAAACTGAATAACATTCGGGAGTATATCGCAGAAGAACCGATTTGGCTCTCCATGGACGAAAGCACGGACGTGACCGGACGTTTTGTAGCTCACACGGTTGTGGGCACGCTCGAAACGTCAGGAACGAAAAGTTTTCTGCTCCATGCAGAAACTCTAGGGAAAAGCAATAGTTCAACAATTGCTCAACACATGTTGAATTCGCTTGCGATACTCTGGCCCGATGGGATTCGACACGACAAAGTGCTTCTCCTAGTCACAGACGGTGCTGCCTATATGAAGAAGGCCGGGAATCATTTTTCGGGAAGGCCCGAAAATCATTTTTCCGCGGATGCTACACATTACGTGTGTCGCGCACGCTATTCATTGGGCGGCAGAAGATGTGCGGCTCTTGTTCCCTGATGTCGACAAGGTAGTTGCCAACGGAAAGAAAGTTTTCCGGAAATCGGCGGCGAGGGTCAACCTATTCCGTGAAATCGCACCCGGTACGACTTTGCCACCCCAGCCTATTCTCACTCGATGGGGAACCTGGATAGAAGCAGCCATCTACTATTCTGCGAACTTTGTTGCGTTCTCGTCGGTAGTAGCAGCTCTAGATGAAAACGACGCCTCCAGCATCCGTGTTTTCAAGGATCTGCTGGAAAGCGCGAATCTCAGGGAGAACTTAGCTTTCATTGAAGCTCACTTTGGTATTCTGCCGAGATGCATCGAGATGCTTGAGGGAAAGGAAGCGCTACTCGTGGATAGCACCGACATCTTCAAGAAAACTCTTCTAGATCTCCGCAGAACCCCCGGAACCGTCGGCGGAAAGATCCGCAGGAAGTGCGACCTCGTTCTAACCAACAATCCCGACTTTCATCGCCTGGACAAGGTGACAGATATACTCCGCGGAAACCCGTCCGAGGGGAGCATCGACGAATACTCGCCGTCGGAGCTTGCGTCGCTAAAATTCGCTCCTATAACGTCAGTCGACGTAGAGAGGACTTTCTCGATCTTGAAACATACCTTAAGCGATCGGAGGCAGACTCTCACGTTCGACCATTTAAAGCAACACCTTATTGTGTACAGTAATCCGTGAAAATTGAGGCATGTACGCGAAATCCCTAATGCATAAAATTGACTTTGAAACCGCATATATCGGCCATTTTCATTGCATAATTGCATGCATAATTCCACTCTTTTTAGTGCATGAAGGTCCGGGCTCTAGTCATAATCACTTAGTCGGCAGAATCATAGTCACTCCTGCGATCAAGATCATAGTCACAGCCATATTCACAGATTCCGTGACTATGGCTATAATCATGCAGGTAATCACAGGATCGATAGAAATCTTGTGATGGCATTAGTTCCATGACGGTCGCAAGTTCCCATGGTCGCTGGCGTCGCTGATCACTGATCACTATAACGATGACAATTATGCCGCGACTGCGCATTGAAGAGCGAGACGACGGTTCGTTCATGGCTATAAGGAGGGAAAGCTCAGCAACGGCAATCGGAGCGATATGAGATGCTCGTCCAAGTCCCAACAGAAGCTTTAGGCTGCTTCGAGGCTCGGGGGCGGATCCGTTGACTAACGGTTAGCGAATAACTGGTCCCGAAAACTCGATCTCGGAGTATGACTAAACAGCCGCCGACGGCGCTCCACAGAACGTAGGCTTGACCTTTAATCAGGACTTAACGGATTATCGGTGCGTGAACGCATATAAAACGTGAGAGTTTTCCGTTGATTATCTACAACGAAGTCCATCATGAGCACAGAGAAAACCGCTCCAGTTCGAAGTTAGAAATTGGCTGTTCGGCATGCCCTGAGCAGCCCCTTTTTCGATCCTTCCCGGACAGATCCTCTTGCCATCGAAGATGAAATTCGACAGACACACTCTACGACGGCTCCCTGCAAGCAATGCCCGACCGAAGCATCCCAACTCGCCGCAAGGTCCAACTCGCCGCCGGAGGCGACCGTCTTCGAGCGACTCATCCTTGGCTCATTCGCCCTAATACCTAATGGTTGCAGGAGCATAGAAATTCCAGAAACAGCCGGGAAAGCCATGGAGACAGGGTAAAGAAAGATTAGCAATCATCTTATTATATCAGCAATGATCTCAATATTTTTTATGCAGGCCACATAATGACACCTCTCTGACCCTCTGACTCGTCTTAAACGCCGATTAGGTGGGGCTCCTCATGACGAGTCATGGACCACTCGGATTGCTCAAGGTTCATAACCGAACGGCGAGTCCTGGAGCATTCT